CCCTTTCAAAAAAAAGAAAAGATTGACCTCCCCAGGAGAGGGAATTCTACTAGCAGACTGCCTTTGGCTCCCTAAGGCTGTAGCCTGATAACCTGTGAGCCACTTGCTGCAGTAGATTTCTCTCCCCTCCCCTTTGGGTTTTCTCCACAATGCTGCTTCCTCCTTTTGTGCTTAGGGTCCCATCATTTCCAACTTTTCAGAGATCTTATTTTTAATTCTTTCTTTAAATCCTTTGCTTCTTCCCCTTCAACTAGCTTTCCCATTAATATTTAAATACTTTTTCCATGTTCTGTCTTTAAACAAACATACACACAAGTGTTTCTGTACCTCTCCTTCCCCTCCTTCTGTCATTTAACTTAGTCTCCTTCCCGCTTCATGAGTGGCAAGATTTCCTAGAAAGTCACAAAGCCTAACAGCCTGCAGTCTGGCCTCAGCTCCCACCCCATGCCTGAAACCACTCTCTCCAGGGTCCCAAGTGACCTCCATGGCAACAAATCCAGTGGACCTTGCTTGGGCATTAAATTACTTGACTTAGTAGCACTTGATTTTGTTGACTACTCTTTAAAGTAGTAATTCTTTTTTAGCATCTAGTTTTTTGTGTTTTGTTTTTAGCCTAATGACACCATGCTGTGTTGGCTTTTCTGCTATTTCTTCTCCCTCAACCAAACCCTTAATAGAGCAGTCCTCCACCCCAGTTTGCCTTCCCTAGGCCTACTCTTCTCAATCTTTGCTTCCTTTTCAAGGAGTATCTTCAAATTCAAAAGCTTCAGTTAGCATCTGTGTCCTGATCATCTCTCATCCGTCACCTCACCATGTATCTTTCCTTTGGCTGTCACAGCCATCTACCCACTGTCTACTGGACATTTCCACAAATTGCCCTCTGCACTTCAAATTGTCTCTAGACTCCTCCCTGTCCTCTGTTTTCTTCCTTTGCTTTCTGAGCTTCAGATTTTGGTTTCCTAAGTTCTCTTTGGATTTTCCCTTTTCTCCTTCCTCTTGGCTGCTTTTGCCCCTCTGTCTGATGTATAATCGTCCATCCTGATCACTGTCCCTCCTAGTAAAGCATCATCTCCGGAAAACCCTGGCAAGCTCTGCGGGCTGTGCTCATTGGTGTCCTGTGTGTGCTCACATTGGCTCACACTCTCCACTTTCTACTGTTTTTTCTCATCACAGCATGTTAAAGTTAAGTCAGTATTCTTGCATCTCTTCTACTGAAGGCCCTTCTTGAGAACAATGACAATTTACCCTTTCAAGAGAGCCTGGTGTATTGTAAATGCTTAATAAATATTTGTGGAAAGACTGGATGAACAAAATGCATAAAAGCTTTATCACAGGATGCTAGAGTCAGAGGACAGCTCTTCAATGGAAAGCAGTGCTTCCCAATGAGAGAGCTGTTTGCATTTGGGATAGAATAACTCTTCCTTGTGCAGGACTATCCTGTGCATTGCAAGGCACTTAGCACCCCAGCTTCTGCCCATTATATGCTAGTGCAGACCCCCAGTTTTCAAGGTGGAAATCCAGGATATGTGCTGTATCTCCTTCCTATGATTTCCTTGGCTGTCAGCTATTGATTAGGAATCTGGGCACATTTTTCCTGCCCACTAATTGTTTCTTCTCTCAGTTAACCCATCAACCAGTGTGCATTCATGCTAGGAAGTGTTATTTCGACAAGGATCCCAGTAGTACATTGATCTGTCACATGGGAACCACACAGGACTTTGAGTTTCCTTATGACCTTGGATACAGCTTTTTAAATTGCCTGTGTCTGTAATTTTATTTGGTATTGAGAAAATTGCAAAAACTCAGGAAAAAAATTGCTCTGGTCCCTATAGGGATCATTTGCTTCAGATGATGAAGGATCAACAGGCTTTGGAATGAGTACTCCACAAAGAACATTCCTACGTCCTCAAAATGGAGAGGGTGACATGACCTTCACATCTGAGAACCCACAGTGCAGGAGAAACAGATGGATTTGAGATGGATTGAGTGTTCACTGGGTTAGTGATGAAGAAATAATGGATGTTATTTTGACTGATGAGAGCAAGCTGAAGGCATCAGCTGCAGTAAAGAGAATGATGTTTTGGAGGATGAGAAAAGAAAGGAACTGGCTGCTCCAGCCAGGCATGGGGTCATTATGGCCATGAAGGAAGCCAAGACAAGCCATCCAGAGGCACTGCATCTGACCCCAAAGCATTCAATGTGTGTAGTGCAGCAGGTGGTGTGATGACTATTTTCATACCCACCATATCACTTGTTCACGTATAAAAGCTGTTTGTTCACTGAGATCAGTATCTTTTTAATCTTGTTTTTATAGAAAACGCAACTAAAGCACAGATCCACATCCAGTTATTTTTCCCATGTACCAAGGCAGTTTCTTGTCCTTCCTGCCACTAAGAGCAAAGTTCACCACGGTCACCCCAGGCTTCTGAGAAAGGCTGACTGCATTCACCATTTCTATTTAAAGGAGTAGAGTGGTATTTCATTCAGTATATTTCCCAACCTCTAGAGGATTAATTGTTGGGAATCAGGAAAATTAGTCATTTAAGAATGACTCATTTCCTGAGGATATCCGAAAGCCATGGTTTCACTCTGCAGAGTCTTGGCAAATCAACGGGTGGAGTCCTTCTGGATCACTGCTGGAGGTCATTGATTGTGAGAGGTCAAATAATTCTGGTGGCCTCTAGTTGGAGAATGTGTCACATTTTTCTAAACTGCATTTAAGATTTTATTCCCAAAGCTATCTTTAATAGCTTCAGAAGAAGTACAGTGTGTCCCACCCCCGCCCCCAAAAAAGTAGCAAGACATAATTTCAAACAGTTGAAGCAAGCCAATAAAATTAATAATCTTATCAGGGTGCAGTTTAGTGACATGATGATTTGAATTTTATAACATGAACCGGGCACTTAAAATGTAATGTGGTTGAAAGTAGCCTGTCAACTCCTGAAATAAAGCTTGTTTTGTGTGTGTTTCAGTCCTGTGAAATTTAGCTTTTATAGTTGAACTTTTTTCCTAGTCATTTTATCCTTTTAGATTACTGTTTTCTCAACAGGATATTGAAAAATAAACATCTCATTTTATTTAGCACAGTTAACCTTAAATGAATTAATGCTCAAAATGGAAGTCAGACAACTAAATCAGGGTGTGTATATTCTGAAAGGAAATTGCAAACTTTAGCACATGATTCAATATTATTTTAATAATTAAATGCCTTACAAGGCCCTGAAATGATTAAAAAGAAATTAGTAGTGTCCTTAACTTTTGAAAAGATTGTGCAACATTTAGAATAAAGCACTAAATAAAATATAAAATGAAACTTTAGTCAAACATTTTGTGTCTATGGATGTTAATTGAGGTAAAAGCTTAAAGATGGTATATTAAGTATTGTTAATTCTAAGTAGTTTTTATAATACTATCCTCCTTAGATATGCCATTATCTCATTAACAAATCTTCCTGTGTGTATTGAGTTTATTTCTTCTCTGTCACTGGAAACTAGTGAGTTTCATTCAGCAAGATCATAATTTGAATGAATTGGTCAAAGAAACAAAAAGGAAGAATTATTCCGAGTGCAAGCTATAATTGCAGCAATACATTTATTATTTGAGGTCGAATATCTTAAGTATTATTCGGAAAAACAAATAGATTTACAGAAACCATTTGCCTTCATAACATTAAAAAACCCAAGTTTTCCCAAAATGTCTGTTTTTGTGTATATACTCTAGTATTCGGTTAGTTTTTCCTAGCCTCCCCTTCCTCAATTGTAAATCAATACAGTTGTTCCACTTAAAATTTTAAAGTTAATGAGACAGTGTATGAGAAGACACTTCAAAGGGTACAGTACCACTGACATATTGTTGGTCTTTTTGGACCTACTTTCTTTTCTTCCTACTTTCCATTTTTGACTTGGCCACTGTTCCCTCCCAGGGACTACTTCCTACAGTCACATGGTGTGGTGTTGATGTTCTCTCAGAGCTAAGAGAATTAGAAGTGGTAGGAATGATGTCCTGACTTCCTATTTATTACTTCTGTTTAAAGAAGTGCCACTAGATTAAAAGTTAAGAATGCTGTAAGTAGGCAAGAGAATGTTACGTTTGTTACCAATCTAAATTATCCAAAACTTGAAAAGCATTCTCTTCACTCATGGAACTGGATCTGTACATCTTTTTCAAAGAGGAAAAAAATAAGTTTCCTCATCCCTCAGAACTATTTGACAACATAACCAAGTCTAGTCCACTCCAAATATATCAGAAGCAACTGAATAATATAGTCATGCTGATTTGGTTTCTTTAATTTTGAATTAAGGAAGTAAATTGATTCCCTTCTTAATCAGCATAAATTCAGCTTACTGACATACACCCCATCCTTCTTCACCACAGTTGCTTTTGGACATTAGGAATGCCGGTTTTCACTTCATTGTACATTATTTAATTTTTAATGTTTGGTTGTTTTAAGTTCTCAAGATTTTCATTCAAGAACTGTATCAAGCCAAGAGGAACCAAATTGCAGTAGGAAAAGGGAAACGAAAGAAAATGGAGAAAGAGGGCTTAGATAGAGAGCCATTTTAGAGAGAGTTTGTTTCTATGGGGATATCACGCATGACCCTTTCTAGGTCATAGGAGTCTCACTACTGCTCCAGCCCTTGTGCAGATGCCTCCCTGAGGAGCTCCCACACCTGGTATAAACAGTGAGCACTGCACAGGCGGCCCAGGTGACAAGGAAGATTTCCTGTCAGGGGAAGTTGAAAGCAATTGTAGGCTCTGAAGAAATTATTTAAACTTGGTAGATTTGCATATTACCTAGCCTTGCAGTATTTGGGGGTTATTTATTTATACCACTAAGTTTAAAAACATGCTTCCCTTCCATATCTAGTTTGCCATAGACAGACCATTAAAATGGAGGAAGAATTCAGTGTTTTGTTTTGGTTGGGGCATACCTGGTGGGAAACAAATAAGTGTGTTGTACCCAACTTAGAAGCTGTGGCCTAACACTTTCAATTTTTCAGGTTGTATCCACGCCATGCAAGTGCCCTGAACAACCTTGGAACGCTGACTAGAGACACAGCAGAGGCAAAGATGTACTATCAGAAGGCACTCCAGCTCCACCCACAGCACAACCGGGCTCTTTTCAATCTGGGAAACCTCCTTAAGTGAGTGGAATGTCTTCATATGATCACTGGGGCCTTCCATCTTCAAGAAACTTTCCTTCTTAGCGTGCATTTCATTGTGCTGCTGTTGCCTCTGCTTAGAGCTGAATAATTAAGAGAAGGTAATTTTAATAGAATTAGTAACATTAATTCTACTGCTTGTTAGCCAAAAGGAGCATTTCCCACAGTGTCTTTCTGTAAATATTATCTCTGAGAGACATAGATTGTCTGTAAAGGGGTCACAACAGTGAAGGGTTACATGGCCAATAAACTTAGCATTTGCCGAGAAAAGCAAAAGGCAGTTCCTTTATTGAAGGACTTTTTAATGTCCTCGTCACCTCGTGAAACTTCAAGACAGGAGTTATGGAATACAGCATTTCCTAAACTCAAAAAAGGATTGTTTTGGTAAGGCATTTCCCAAGACAGATATTCATAATATAATCTGGGGAAAGCAGTGTTCTCTGAAAATGTAACCTTATGGTGTGGCACAGCCACCTGTCCAGTTTGTATGATAGTAATGAACAAAGTGAGGCTTGGGATTAGCAGTGACTTTTGCTGTTATGAATACTCAGGCCTCATTGCTGGTGTTTTCACTCCCTGTGTTAAGAAAGGGTGACAGTGTGAGTAGTGTTACTAAAGACTAAAGTAAAGGGGAACTTTTGCATCTTATGTTTTCACAGTGTAAACTCCAGGCATGTTGGTGATGGTAGTAACAGCTGTAGTGGTTGTACACATTAGTTTCTAAACTTATTTTAAAAAGTAAACAGATTAAAAACATCAGAAATGAAATTTAGAATCAGGAGTAGTGATATATTTATCTGTGCCATCAGGATGCTGACAATCCACATAGTTACCAAGTTGATGTCCATCCCAAAGCTTCTAGAGAGCAGCTCAGCTGCCTCTGCAATTCCTGTAACACTAATGGTTTACCTTGTTCTCTCATTCCCCTTTCTAACAGGGTGTCTTCACTGCTTATAACCCAGTATGGCACATCTCTCTGTTTACTTCTTGACTTGTACATGTTCACAGAGATATTGGTGCTGCTTACTAATGTGTGTGTTAATGCATATTTTTATTTATCTCATTTGAACTGAAGCATTGGGGTGAGTTAATGATAAAACAACGTAATGTGCTATCAGCTGGTGTTGCCATCCTAGGTCTGAACTCTGTTTAAGAATGACTTTATCCATATGCTGAAACATATAATCAAGGGAGCACTATTAAATAAGATGAAAACAATATAAATTAATGAAATAAATAATAAACTATAATCAGCAAAAACTAAATTAATTAACTTTGGCAAAATTTGACAACTGAGAATGAAGAAGTGCACAACTGTGGTAAGAAAAAGTTCCATTTTAGTTTTACTAGGAAGCTCCCTTTAAAAAGAGTAATACAAAAAAGATGTGAGGAAATGAGTTCTAGTTATCACAGATAACTAGACACAGGTCAATACGATGTTTTTATTTTACTATAATACTTTTTTGAGTACTATTTCTTTTTATGAAGTGCTAGGGACTTTTGTTTTAAGTCTTTGTATGTCCTATTTACGGCCTAAATAATTTAATGGCTAGATAAAATCCTATCAGTATTTTCTGGAGTATCTGGATTCTAAAGTACTGGTTTTATTTATTTATTTGTAGTACTGAGGCTTGAACTCAGGGCCTACACCTTGAGCCATTCCAACAGTTCTTTTTTGTGAAGGGTTTTTTCGAGATAGGGTCTTGTGAACTATGCCTGGGCTGGCTTCGAACTGCGATCCTTCTGATCTCTTGCCTTCGAGTAGCTAGGATTATAGCTGTGAGCCACCAGTGCCTGGCCTAAAGTATTGATTTTAAAAATGACATCTATATGTGTATTTTCCAGTGAAGCCAAATACACCGTCTTGCCTACATAATGATTCTGTTATCAGGAACACTATCCTGGAGATACTGTGTAGGGTTGTGCTAACTATGGCTCTGCTTAAACATGATAACAGGGGTACTTTTCAGATCATCTTCTTAGATCTGAGCAAAAGATGGTGTATTTGCACTTCATATCTAATCACTGCAAACATCTTTAATTAGTATATATGGGTTAAAAGTATAAGAAAGTGTTTTTCAGAGCATAGAAATGATTGCTTTTCATAGTAGAGAGGTTATTAAGTAACCAACAGAAGGTTTTTCCTCTTTCCAGTGAAATCAATTCTTAATTGTTCAAATCAATATCTGTATTAGACTGCATAGGTAAAGGCTTTTTTGGAATGATATTCTCCCAGTGAGTCTTTATTTTTTTATTTTCTTTTTAATTTTTATTTTATTCATATGTGCATACAATGTTTGGGCCATTTCTCCCCCTTTCCCACCACCCCTCCCTTACCCCCCCAACTTAGCGGGGTGCTCCTTCCCTTACCCCCACTTACCCCTCGCTACCAGGCAGAAATTGTTCTGCCTTTATCTCTAACTTGGTTCAAGAGAGAGTATAAGCAGTAATAGGAAGGACCAAGGGTTTTTGCTAGTTGAGATAAGGATAGTTATACAGGGAGTTGACTCACATTGATTTCCTGTGCGTGTGTTACCTTCTAAGTTAATTCTTCTCGAACTAACCTTTTCTCTAGTTCCTGGTCCCCTTCTCTTGTTGGCCTCAGTTGCTTTAAAGTATCTGCTTTAGTTTCTCTGTGTTGAGGGCAACAAATGCTATCTAGTTTTTTGGGTGTCTTACCTATCCTCATACCTCCCTTGTGTGTTCTCACTTTATCATGTGATCAAAGTCCAATCCCCTTGTTGTGTTTGCCCTTGATCTAATGTCTGCATATGAGGGAGAACATATGATTTTTGGTCTTTTAGGCCAGGCTAACCTCACTCAGAATTATGTTCTCCAATTCCATCCATTTACCTGGGAATGATAACATTTCATTCTTCTTCATGACTGCATAAAATTCCATAGTGTATAAATGCCACATTTTCTTAATCCATTCGTCAGTGGTGGGGCATCTTGGCTGTTTCCATAACTTGGCTTTGTGAATAGTGCCGCAATAAACATGGGTGTGCAGGTGCCTCTGGAGTAACCTGTGTCACAGTTTTTTGGGTATATCCCCAAGAGTGGTATTGCTGGGTCATATGGCAGATCAATGTTTAGCTTTTTAAGTAGCCTCCAAATTTTTTTCCAGAGTGGTTGTACTAGTTTACATTCCCACCAACAGTGTAAGACGGTTCCTTTTTCCCCACATCCTCGCCAACACCTGTTGTTGGTGGTGTTGCTAATGATGGCTATTCTAACAGGGGTGAGGTAGAATCTTAGTGTGGTTTTAATTTGCATTTCCTTTATTGCTAGAGATGGTGAGTATTTTTCATGAGTTTTTTTGGCCATTTGAATTTCTTCTTTTGAGAAAGTTCTGTTTAGTTCACTTGCCCATTTCTTTATTGGTTCATTTGGGAAATTTCTGTTATTATTTTGTTGTATATATTATGCATTCCCTTCGCTTGCACCTCTTCTACTTCTTAGATGCCCATGATTCTCAAGTTTGGTCTTTTGATGGAGTCAGTGAGTTCTTGCATTTTCTTTTCACAGGTCTTGAGTTGTTTAACTAATAGTTCTTCAGTTTTTCCTTTAATTACCATTTCATCTTCAAGTTCTGAGATTCTGTCTTCTGCTTGTTCTAGTCTGCTGGATTGGCCTTTTTGCATTTCTGTTTTGTTTTGCATTTCTGTTTTATTCTTTTTTCGGAGGTCTTCTATATCCTGAGTCATTTCCTCTTTAATGTTGTCTATTTTCATCCTGACTTCATTTGTCTCTTTATTCATCGTTTTCTCTGTTTCACTTTGATGTTTATACAGTGCTTCTATGGTTTCTTTTATTTCTTCTTGTGCTTTCTCAAATTCTCTATTTTTGTTGTCTTGGAATTTCTTGAGTGTCTCCTGTTCATTTTGATTGACCATATATAGTATCATCTCTATAAAATTCTCATTGATTACTTGGAGCATTTTATCTTTCAGATTATTTTTGTGGGCTTCATTGAGTTGTTTGGCATAGTTTATCTTTGTTTTGTTGGAGTCTGGATCTGAGTATATGTTTTCTTCAGGAGCCCTCTTGGTTTCTCTGTTTACCGTGGAGTGAGGATGCTATGCAAGGGCTGGTGGTGTGGTGATGTTGGAGTTTTACCTCTTCTGGGTGGTTTTTCCTGTAAGGTGTAGCTCCAGCATTTGTCTAAGATTTTACTTTAGGAAGCACGCTTTCTGCTTCCTCCCTTAGTTGCCATCTTGGAATCTCCAAGAATATAAGAATTATTAAATAGCTGAATCAATTTAGGAATGATCCTCTGTTCTTGATGATGCTGCTGTGCCTGGGGGTCGCCTGGCCCAGTGAGTCTTTAAAGTGAATAGGGAAGAAGCGGAAACAGAGGTCCTGAGAGGTTAAGTGCTATGTACAAAGCACTTTTATCTACCTTCTGCTGTTTCATGTCAGTCTGTTACAACATAGGGCAAAGCAGCTGTATCTCAGCATCTGTCAGTCTTAGAACCCAATAGATTAAAATAACGTTAATAGCTTATATTTGTGTAATACTTTTCAGTTTACAGATAAGTTCTAGAGACATAGCCATTATTTAATCCTTAACACAACCTATGGTGAAAGGTATTACCATCATCATCCTCATCTCACAGGTGAGGAAGCCAAAGACTCCTCCAGAGACTGCTAGGACCTGATCCTGCCCACCCAAGACTTTCCATTATCTGTGCTGCCTTAATAGCTCTCAACCCAAAAGTTAAATAACATTAAACTATTTGATGGCATGTGATTGCCTTTTGGGAGAAAAGACTTCCCCTATTGTGTCTTTTTAAGGAAATAGTAAAATTGGTTTATATAACTCTAGGCTTTTCCACTTACCTTAAAATACCTCTGAGCCAGTAGGAATGGGTCAAAAGCAAGAAAAGGACAAAAATATTTAAAATGTGATGTGACTTGATCTCTCTTAATAGTTAGGCCTCTCTTTCTGTTGTCAGTTAGCTTTTAAGTTATTGCACTTC